AAGAATCAAGAATCAAGTCAAAGTCTTATATAACATTTTTCAAGACTCGAGAATCGAGATTGGAGAATAAACAATTGTATAAGGTATGTCTGATATTTTCAATTAAGGCAACTTTGATTTGGGTTCTGATTTTTATTGATGCGATGATAACATTCTTTTAAATCCCTATTCTAATAAATGAATAATTTTAATCTCCTTTTGCCAAGTGTCACTCTAATACAACTCCTCATTAATATTATGTCATTTGTCATATAGATATATTAGGCAACTCATTTCAAAATTCAAATTTACATTTTCTAATTATATGTTAAATTTGAAGTTATAATAACTTTAAAATTTTGATATATCTATTAATTAATAATTTATTTAAAATAATTGATTAATAATTATAAATTTTTATTATGAAAGTTTAATTAGTTTTATAACTCGTGGTTCCCACGGGTTATAAACTAGTAATAACATAAAGAAAGCATAATCAATATTCAAGAATCACAGATCAATAATCAAGAATAAATGCAAAGTCTTATCTAACATTCTTCTAGAATCAAGAATTAAGAATCCATACTCAAGAATCAACATTTGTATAAGGCATGTAAGTTACTCTCAATTTCGAAAACTTATTATGCATCATTCTTGTTTTTGTTTTTGTTTTTTTAAATGTTAATATTCCATCTGGGTTTATTTAACTTGGATATGAAATTCTCGTACTTGATCTCTGTCGCTCCATTCTTACTACTCTTCCTACTGATGTGCTTGATTTCTAAAGAAAAAAATTGGCTAAACGATTTTGAATGTGAGAAAGAGTTTGAAATTCCTACAATTTATGAAGATTTCACGTTTATTCATTATGGATGTCGTATATTGAGATGATCAGGATGGATCCGAAATTACAAACACTTCCAAATTCTAATATGCGCAAAAACTTCATATTGCTCTTATCAAAGGTTTCTATTTAAACAATGGGCAATTACTAATCTAGCCAAATTAATGAAGTGATTAACAGTTTTTAACCAAAAATTAGGATTTGTCCCAAACTAGCCCACGAAACCGTAGGTGGTTAAAATGGCATATTGTTTCGCCCATTTACCTACTGTTTTAATTTTAGTATATAAAGATTTTTTTTTCATTTTTCACTACGAAACCGTAGACGAAAAAATGGTCTACTGTTTCCTCTGAGAAGTCTACTGTTTCCCAAAGAGTAGATTAAAAATGATCTACTGTTTCGTCCAAAACCTACGGTTTTGGGTTTTTTTTTTTAAGATGGAAAACAAACACTAACTTTTACTCTAAAAGAGATTTTTCTTTTAATATATAGTAGGTATGATATAGTAGTCAAAATACATGAATTAGTAGTCAAATACCCAAAAAAAACCCCAAAACCGTAGGTTTTTAGACGAAACAGTAGATTATTTTTAATCTAGTCTTTGGGAAACAGTAGACTTCTCATAGGAAACAGTAGACCATTTTTTCGTCTACGGTTTCGTAGTGAAAAATGAAAAAAAAATCTTTATATACTAAAATCAAAACAGTAGGTCATTTTAACTACCTACGGTTTCGTAGGTTAGTTTGGGACAAATCCTAATTTTTGGTTAAAAAGTGAGAAGTCATTAATGAATTTGGTTAGATTAGTAATTTTCCCTTTAAACAATGACTAAAGAATTCATTTTTTATTACAACCATGCCATAATCGATCTTAACCATTAATATTTTTAATCCAAGGGTCCTCATTTTGTCAATAATCACACAATAATTACAATCCATAATCGAGCCTACCCATTACAACATACATCTTACATGTTAAATGTAATAACAACTCTACTATTACCATAATAATTTAGTAAAGTGTTTTAAAAGGTCGTATACATTTAATTACACTTGTTAATTCATTACATCCCTTTTTGTCAAACTCATCTGCTTTGCTATATTGCGCCTACTACTAAATATAAACCATTCGATTCCTTCATAATTTTTACCTTTATATTTCTTAAAATGTACCAAACTTGTTTGTGGCATTTCCATATATTGTTTACCGAAAAAGAAAGCTCCATAAATGTAGAAATGTTTCACGAAATTTCATTGGAAATGAACTAATGATCCAAAATATCAACAAATAAGAGCAAGCATGTGTACATACCAATGTTATATTGTGAGCATATAAAACACAATAAAAGTAACAAAAAAAAATATGTTCTTGAAACTTGGGCAGCTCTATTTGCGATTCTAAAACTACTCAAAGTTTTCATCCTGCAAATAACAATAAAAAATAAAATAGTTACCGACTGTAGCTCTGACTGTGATTGTGACTGTGACTGTGACTGTGAAACAAGGTGGGACATGGACTCGTGATCTCTCACATGTTAAAAAGACGAAAATGCCCTTCCCATCCTCATAATTGAAAATAACCGTAGAAAGATTATCCAGTACTGGCCTATGTTACAAATACAGTCCTAGAGAACACGTAGAACATAAATTTTATAAAATTTTAAACTAAAATGGAAATATTAATTAGCATACCTTGAAATACGCCCTATTTAAAGAAGTTGATTGCCATTTTGTTAATTGGCAAATACATTCAACCTGACTTGAGCAGTAACATCAGGATGAAGCTTCAACTCTGCAATATATTCTCCTGTTTCTCGGATCTCGGGTAACGTGACAATTCTTTTATCAATATCCCTACATTCAAGAAGATTAAAAATTATAAAAAAAAATAAGATTTAAGAGAACCCATCATTCAAGAAAAGCTGAAAACATAAAACTCATAGCAGTGAAAATTGGTTTATATTTGGATAACATTGCTTTAAGTTTATGATTGGGTAGAAGATTACCTTTGAAGTTGTGCCTTAATTATGTCAACAAGATCTTGAGCAGTAACACTGCAAGGAATAAAATTCATTAGCATTTAGCAACATGTTTTATAAAAATTAGAAATAAGTTGATAAGAAAAAACTGTTAAACGAGTCATGTTAAATATAATACACACCTTCCAAAAATTTGCTTTCCTTTCCCTCCCTTACGTTTCACTTTGAAAGCTCCAACAGTTTCAAAAATTCTAGCAAGTTGCAGGGCCTCTTCTTTTACCTATTAAATTTTTTAACTTAATATAAATAAAATGATATTGATAACAACATTATCAATAAAGACTCAAGGATTATCAAGAATACTGTATGAATCAAAGTAGCCTGTGAATACCCGTTTCTTTTCAGCCTCAATTCTCTCTTCTTCAACCTTCATTTCCCTGAACAAAAACAAAAGAAAATAATCGCAAAGGGTATCTTCACCTATTCTTTCAATTATCAATTATCAAATTCGGAACTCACAGCCTAACCCTAACATACTTTTCAAGTGTCAAAACCACAAAATTGTAAAGGACATTGCTAACATTCGCAGTGACATTTTCACAAACAGTTGGCAGGCTTCATAAAGATGACTAATTGGCCATAAAAACTTTAAAAGCAGCTAACATTTTGGTTATCTGTAACGTAATTAACATTATGAAGAAAAGGAACAAACTAAAATCAACTCAATTACGCATTACTTGAGAAGAATGGGAGTAACAATCCGCGCTTTTCCTGAAGGATGCAGAAAGTTTCGGTAAAACCCAGCTTTGACATCCAAAAGCTGCCCTTTCTTCCCCACATCAGTAACATCCTCAATCAGTATTATCTACAAGCCAAGAACAAAAAGACCAATTAATAAATACGTCAAAAAATAGCCTATAGAATCGAAATGTGCATAATTCCTTAGCACCTTTCGAGTTTTCTTCGCTTTCTTTTGAGCCAAAATTACAAAATCTGAGCTTTTATCGGAAATTTTGATGCCTTCGTTGGTGCTCCTTGTTAGGGTGCGGTTATTAAGCCATGAAGATGAATTCCATGACAAATTTGATGCCAGAGAAGCCATTGATAATCTCTTTATGGTCTGATTTATCTTATCCGGAGTGGTTCTTGAATCTTGCTAATCGACTGTCAATGTTTGCTATATCTACTTTCTCAACTTACATAAAGTACTCCAATACCCCTCGAGAATAGTTTCAGTTACATTATATGCCCCTTTTGAACGAAAAAATATAATATTTGATTTTTTTTATCGTAAATCATGGAAAAATATATGCAAAAAGATCATTCTATTTACATTTTGCATTTAGCATGAAAAGGCACACCAAAAGAGATTATATTTCAACTAGGTGAGAAACCCCGCTCCGCGGGGTTCGGTTTTGAGCATAGTTTTCGTCTTTTGATAATCGAACCAGTCAAACTATCTTCAAAATCAAAAGACGAAAACTATGCTCAAAACCGATTTTGAGAGAACTTTTTTCACAATATTAGATTTCCACTCTGCAAAACAAAGCACAAAATAACAACCTAGTTTATTCAATCCATGAAATCTAGAAGTGAAAACTGAGTCAATCATGAGATTATAAAAAAAAGGGAACAATGTACAACACATATTACATAAAGTATAAATGTTTATAGCAAACCTACAAAACCTGGAGTAAGGTTCAATATTGGTATCACTCCTCATTTCATGATCTTTCTCTACCATCTTCCTTAATTATTAACCATACCCTTGTACCAAAATTACGAATTTGGCCCTTCCCATCAGCGACCTGTTTTTGAAAACACATTCCAAATGGGCGACATATATAACCATGAAAGTAATCAAATGTCAGGCATATGATCCTTTATAGCTTAGAAAACTATGTATATTGTCCGCTTATAATCAGGTAATTCAACTTTTTATCTAGAGAAAAAAAAATTACAGATCAACATGTGAAAGAGTTCTTGCCTCCTTGTTAAAGCACTGAAATAAAGCCAATATCAATCAGAATCCGGTAGCTTCCTCGATCGATTTAACCAGTCTACTCTTAAACATTTATTGGTGCAATCATAGAATTAGATGGTATTGATAGATTGGTTGATTTGTAACTTTAATAACAATTAACAAACAAACAAAGAATCAAACCAATCAATTCAACTTATAACCAATCTACTTACATCCAAGAAAGAAATGCTCAAAGGCGTTGCCTTTTTACCCTTTAACCCTTTACTGGTCAAACGGAATGTAAGGACTTTCTTGTAATTAAACCTATTACTGAAAGATACAAATCATTCTAAATTGTAGTTGTGAGCAGGCTATTGGAGGAACTTGTAACAAAGATAACTGCGAAAAAAAAAGAGAAGAAATTAGGGCTAATGTAAGCTGAAAATTGAACTTGATGTGATTCCGGGGACGGAATCATCCTAAGGGGGAGAGAATTGTAACACTCGTGTTTCTAGCCTAGACATTAATCTTGATGTGATAGTCTAGGTTAACCTTTGTAACTCATTTTGAAGAAATGAAAAAGGAATTATGTGA